GTGCCATTGCTCCTGAATTGTTAAGATGGCCTTTTCTAAGCTGTAATAATCAGTTGGCTTCGTATAGGTAAAGCAGAATTTAAGTCTGCCTCTCGCGGCAAAAAAAACCCTAAAACTCTGTTTTCTAAGCTCAGCAAATGATTGATGAATAAAAAAAAAAGGGGGGGGGTGTCCTTTTATTGATCTCACATAAACGGAAATGCTTTGAAGCATGGGGATAATGGAAATTGGCATATATAAATGTTTGTAAATGGGAAGAGGAAAGAGGGTTGTGTGGTGTTTGTGGTTTTTTTTTTTTTTTTTTTTTTTTTTTTTTTTTTTTTCCCCCTTCACCCCCTGCAGAATGAGTTGGCTTCTTATTTAGTAGATACTGCACACAGCTACTTTGTTCTTCCTTGAACATCAGTGTCTTTTGAAATAAAAACAACTTTACCATTCCAACTCAGAGTGCAAAAAATGGGGAAATAAAAAGTCTTAATTGGCTGTTCTGTGCAACAGTCTGAGGAGGGTCTTCATCCGAGACTTTGATATATGCCAGATATTCACAAAATAAGACTTTTGGATCTAAAAGCTACATTTGATAGCCTTTTTAACAGAGGAATCATTGAAATTCTTTAGGTCTTGAGGAATCCCTGGCAGAAAATTGTATATTTACAGTTTACATTACAGTAGCCTGCTGATCAGTGGGAAGAATGCTCCCCTTAGATTTCTAGAAAGATGATTGGTGTCAGTGGTTTATCTGGTAGGCTGAATTTGTTCATTGCTTAAACCCTCTAGCAACCTTTGGAGGAACCTTAAGGTTCCACAGAGTTCTGGTTGACTGATCTAAGACCTACAGTAAGTGACCTTTTTATAATCTAGTGGTTGTCCATTTGCTACTAGATTTCAAGTAATATTTTTTTGCTATGATAGGAATGAGAATTGGGTTAAATGATTTTGGCTGTTGAATCCTTTTTCTTTCTCCCAGTTTTATTGTAGTTGGGTGTGAATTGATTCATGGTGAAACTGCTATCAGACACTTGAGAAAATTCTCAATAGTTGTACATAAAAAAACACATTTGACTTGACCTATTATTTTGAAGAGCAGTTTTTGACCATTTCATGTTACAATCATAATCTTATTTAACAAACGCCTATGTTTTATATTGTATCTTTGTTGAACAAATTGGTTAAATTGGGGTGCTTTATGGAAAAATTTATATGAATATCCAGAACTAAAGTTCTTGATCGAGGGTAATTGGAGTTTGGTGTTCTAATCAAAACAGCTTTGACCTACCCTGCTTTATATTGAATTCTCACAATTGGATGCCAGACGATCTCTGTAGAATAGGAAGCTTAGAAGAGGGGTTACAAAGTGTTTTTTTTTTGTTTTTTTTTTTTTTTTTTATTTTTTTTTTGTTTTTTTTTTTTTGGGGGGGGGGTTTTTTTTTTTTTTGTTTTTGTTTTTTTTTTTTTGTTTTTTTTTTTGTTTTTTTTTTTTTTTTTTTTTTTTTCTCTCTATACTAGAGTCTATACCAATCCACAGTGGAATAACTGAAAGGAATTTAGCATTATTATTATTATTATTACTAATCACAGCACACACTCCCTTAGCAGGTGGCAATGCATCCTTGCACTTGATAACATCTGTGTTCATCAGTCTACCAAAACAACTTGGGTAAATAGCTGGTTATAATATAGGAAATAACTACTGTCAAAAGAAGATTGTGGCTCTCTTAGGATGGTTCAGGACACACTACAGTAGATGATCCACAACAGTACCCAGAAACTCTTCTGTGGACAGGCAAAATTTTGATTTTTTTTTTTCTTCATATTTTCAAGAAACCAAGGCAATGGTTTCCAGCACCAAACTGACATTCTGTCTGTTAATGAAAATATAATCATGTGGGTCTCTTTTGCTGCATTTGGATGTGGGGGGGCTTGCAGTCCTTGAGGGACCAAGGGTAGTTCCCCTAATAAATATAAGCCTTTATATTCCTAATTTATTGGTGACCTTGATTGTTTAAGCTATTTTTCTAGTTCAGTACATTTTTGATAGTTTACATGTATACAAAAAATGAAGTACATAATGAGAAACCAAAACTGGATTATAGATTACAAAAGGAGGGGCTGGGACACCCTGTTGCAGGTACCAAAATTAGTCGGTAACATCTGAGCTACTAGAGCCAGCAGAATCATATGGAACAGTTGTAGTGAGCACAGGTTTTCTGGAGGGTGAATCAAGTTGTACCACGGGACAGGGAAAGCCATAAAAAAACAGAGCCCTATGGGCATATTGAGGCTCTACTTGCAGGCTCTACCGGTGTTGTAAAATGAAGGCCAAAAACTAAATGGCCCAACTAGATAAAGGGAAGGGGTGGGGGGCGGGGGATTGAAGATGAGGAAAGTGAGAGAGGTGAAGTAAGAGAAATGTGAAAACTAGGTGGATGGAAAAGAGGGAAGGAAGAGTAACAGAATGGGGTAGAAAAGAGGGAGAAAGTAGCACCCTGCAGATTTGCTTCAGCCTAATGGTTCAGTCTTGCAACAGGGAGAGAAGGGCAGAAGTGGCCATAGTTGCAATGCTCTCAAATCAGATTGGCAATAATCTATCCAGGAGGATGAGATCTTTAAAAAATGTATCAAGTTTATTTTCCAATATGGCTGTCCATTTCTCATTGACCATGAAGCTGGTCAGGCGGCTTTTGACTTCCTTGAAACAGAAAACAGGTGACTTCCAGGAGTGAGCTACAGTTTGCTTAGTAGAAATAAACAGTTGATTAGTTTTGCATGGTTTTTTTTTTTTTTTGCACCTCTTGTATAGGTTTGAGTAGTAGTGCCTCCACCTGGTTTTTCTGTAGATCATAGTGGAGGAGTGTCGATCAAGGTGTACACCCGAATCCAAAGCCTACGGAGCATCTGACAGGTCCACCAGATAATGGGCCATTGTGCCCTCCTGTCCGCACAACCGAAAACAGAGAAAAGAATGGTCGGGTACAAATTTAGAGATACAAACCGGTGTAAGATACAAGTGCATAAGAACATAAGTGCACGATTACATTCCACAAGCAAGTGGCTGTAGTCGACCAGATATCCTTCCAGTCTTCCAAGATACTCCCAAGTATTATTCCCAATTTGCCACATAAGTTGTTTTCTTGGTAGATGTGGAAGAATTAAGGCAAGTATATAAAAGTGAGATGAGGCCTGGAGAGTCTGGGTCTGCATGGCATTTACTCAGTGTGAAAGGGGCAGATTTGTTCAAAAGCAGGAAGTGACCAAAGTGTCTAAGTTGGATATAACTAAAGAGTTCCCATGACTGTGCCTCATCTGTGTATCACAAAAATAGTTAAGACTTGACACCGTTAGAGTCCAGTAGAGGGTAGACATCGCCACTGGAATCTGAGTGTGGCCTCAAGTCCAGGAATGAACAAGGGGCAGTTTGTCAGGTTTAATAGTGGGAGATATGGAGAAATAAGACCACATGAGTACTTGACTCTAAGGGAATGAGTTGGGGGGGCACTAGGGAGGTGGTGGTGGCCAGAGCAGGGATTTAAAAGCTGTGTTACACAGTCCAATTTATCCAACAATACCCATTCAGGGCTTCGGTAGTAGAATGGAGTCAGGTAAGTGGGGCTAATTGTGCTGTCCTATAATAGTGGAGAAGATGTGCAATTCCCAAACCTCCATTTGTATTTGTCTGTACACTGTAGACCTATTATTTCGAAGCCTAGTGGTTTGCCAGATAAATGAGAACTGTATTTTGTAAAACTCGCAGCACCACGGATGGGACTTGGACGGGTAGAAAGTAGTAGAGGAGTTTAGGTAGGAAAGACCTTTTTGACAGCTTTTAAACGGCCTATCCCAGGAAATAGAAAATTGTGACCAAGAGCAGAGAAAGGGGACCAGGAATCTAATAGGGGGGATAGTTCGCCTGATATATTAGGTGGACCCCCAGATAGAGGAGTTTGGTAGTCCAACTATAGGAGAATGAAGATTGTAATGAAGTCAGAGTAGAGGGGGTTAGAGGGATATCCATAACTTGGGACTTGGATTAGTTGATTTTGAGACCGTTGAAGGATGCAAAATCAGTGAGGATCCTAAATAAGCATGGTAATGCGATTATCTGGGACGTAATAGTGAAAAGAATATTGTCGCAAAGAGCAGTAGTTTCCCGTTATTAGGTTTTAAGCTATTTTTGTAATAAAGATTCAGTGTATTTTTTTAATTTTTGTTTTTGACCTGGTAGCCTTATTGTCCATTTCTGTAATAAGAAGTATAGAGGAGCTGCTAGGTCTTTGCACTGAGGCACTGATGTCCACCAGAGTCCTTGGTGAGAGCATGTGAAGACTTTGGTGTCCAGAATGCAGTTTTGCTGCAGAAAATGCAACCTAACATGCTGGCCTTAGTTCATGTGACTAAGAACTGGTGCAGTATGGGAATGCATTTTATAGCCCATAGGTTAGTGTTGACTTTTTAATATCCTCTTATCAGCCTTCTCATGCTTGGGTATCCTATTAAAGGGTACATAACTTTATAGTTTAGGTCAAGGAGGCTCCCAGTGCATGCGCCATCTGTTGGGTTTATACCTTGGGTCCTGACGGCATAAATGCCTGCAGTTTCTGTCTTCTGCCCCCCTCCTGTCAGACCTGTGGCACAGAGCTGAGGCAAGTGCTCCAAAACTGCAGAGCTGCTAAGAGGCAAAGCTGCTGGTCTGTATGAGAACCCCCAGGGGAATGATGATTGGTGGGGTGAGCTTAGAGTTGCACTTTTAATGGGTAAAGAGCTGCATTTTTGTTTTTAAGCTGCTTTTAACCGCCTGCAGCCCGCTATATAGTACAATGACTGGTGCAAGGCAGTTCTCTCATTCTGGGAGGACGTCATAGAACGTCCTCCCATTCTAACTGCGCATGCGCGGCTCCGGGAGCACGCAGCAAGGCGATCAGCGGTACACTGTGTCCCCCGGACACAGCGGATCACCGATCACATGACCGAGCCAACATCTTCGGCTCTGTTGATCAGCTGTGTCCAATCACAGCTGATCGCATGTAAATGGAGAAATGCCGGTTATCGGCATTTCTCTCCTCACGAGCTGTCACGCTGACAGCTCGAGAGGAGAGCCGGTAATCGGCATCCCTCAGAGGGGACATGTACACATCATCAGAGCACTGAGGATCTGTGTAGCCCAGCAGTGCCACCTGTCGGTGCTCATCCATGCCACATTAGTGCCACATCAATGCCACATTTCAGTGCCTACCAGTGCACATCAATGCCACATAGCAGTGCCGCCAGTCAGTTCCGCCTATCAGTGCCGCCAGTCAGTGCCATATGAGTGCTGCCTATCAGTGCCACCTATCAGTGCCCATCACTGCAGCCTCATTAGAGCACATCAGTGAAGGAGAAAAATCACTTTTTTACAAAATTTTATAACAAAAACTAAGAAAACGTGTTTTTTTTTTTTTTTTTTTTTTTTTTTTACATTTTCAGTGGTTTTTGGTTTAAGAAGAAAAAAAACCCAGAGGTGATTAAATACCACCAAAATAAAGCTCTGTCACAAAAAAATGATAAAAATGTCATATGGGTACAGTGTTGCATGACCGCACAATTGTCATTCAAAGTGCAACAATGCTGAAAGCTGGAAATTGGCCTGGGCAGGAAGGGGGTATAAGTGCCCTGTAGGCTAGTGGTTAACCACTTGCCTACAGGGCACTTATACCCCCTTTCTGCCCAGGCCAATTTCCAGCTTTCAGCGCTGTTGCACTTTGACAATTGTGCGGCCATGCAACACTGTACCCATATTACATTTTTATCATTTTTTGTGACAGAGCTTTATTTTGGTGGTATTTAATCACCTCTGGGTTTTTTTTATTTTTTCTTAAACCAAAAACCACTGAAAATTTTGAAAAAAACAAAACGTTTTTTTCTTAGTTTTTGTTATAAAAATTTGTAAAAAAGTGATTTTTCTCCTTCACTGATGTGCGCTAATGAGGCTGCACTGATGGGCACTGTTGAGGAGGCACTGGTAGGTGGCACTGATGGGCATTGACAGGCATCACTGATGGGCACTGAAAGGCAGCACTCATATATGGCACTGTTAGGCAGCATTGGCATTACTGATAGGTGGCACTGATGGGTGGCACTGAAAGGAAGCTCAGATGGGCACTGATATGTGGCACTGATGGGCACTGAAATGTGGCACTGATGGGCACTGGCAGGTGGCATGGAAAAGCACAGAGCTGGCACTGATGGACACTGACAGGTGGCGCTGCTGGGGCTACACAGATCATCAGGGCACACTGATAATCAGTGCTCTGATGATCTGTGTACATGTCCCCTCCGAGGAATGCCGATTACCGGCTCTCCTTTCCTCTGGAGCTGTCGGCGTGACAGCTCGTGAGGAGAGAAATGCCGATAACTGGCATTTCCGTGTTTACATGTGATCAGCTGTGATTGGACACAGCTGATCACATGACCGAGCCGACATATTCGGCACTTTCCTTAGATCGGTGATCCGCTGTTTCCGAGGGGCACAGCGCACCGCCATTCGCCGCGCTCTCGGAGCCGCGCATGCGGGTGAGAATGGGAGGATGTCATATGATGTTCTCGCAGAACGAGAGAACCGCCTTGCGCCCGTCATATTACTATAGGGCGGGCGGGCGGGAGGCGGTTAAAGTGGAATTCTGGGCTTTACCCAACTAATTTTAAAAATGCTCCCCTCCTAACACCTATACTAACTGACTTATGCAAGAAACATCTGTGTACTTGACTATTTTTCAGCCTGCTCTGATCACATGATCGGCACCACTCTATCAGCCAGTAGCTGCTGCAGGGGAGAGTGGGGAGCACCATAGTAAGTTTTATGGGTGACGACACTGTTCCCATGCATAACTATATCCATTGTCAAGAGCTCTCTCATCTTCATGCAGACTGTGTTGGCTGACACAGGAGATCACGTGACAGGACCAGTGTGGGCTGAAAATAGGCAAGTATACAGATCGTTCTTTGACAGGTTAGTCCTCATAGGTGTTAGGAGGGGAGGGGAGACTAGGTAAACCTGGAATTCCACTTTAACTTTAGTATGTCGATAGGAAATGTATGTTTATATATGTGCTGCATGAATCATCTGCTCCTACGTGTGATAGCTGCGGAAAGAAGTGCAGTGTATTTCTGCTTTTAAAGCCCAACTCCAGCTTTGACATAAAAATAAATACATGACTATCAAACGTATCTTAAAAATTAAAAGGCAGCTCTGGCTGCAATACTTGACCTATCACTGGTGCTGTCCCCACAGACTCACCTGGTCACAGATCCCAGCACCACTCCTCTTCTGTGTTGAATTACTCTGGCTTCTGCCCCCTGCCCTGGACTTGCAGAAACGTACTGCATTTAGGGATGCTGCAATAGGAAACAGGCAAAGAAGTGTGATGGGGCAGTGGCTGGGTAAGTTTGGTTTTAAGCAAAGAGTTGGGCCTTGAGCATGGGATGTTATTTACATTGATTGATATGCAGGTGGCCTCTATAGTGGGCATTTATAAATTTGTAAGGGACTGCAAAAAAAAATAATCAGGTAAATGCCTCAATAAGCACAAATACATGCTGAATGTAAGAGTGGCAAATCTCAGTGAGCACACACCTTTTCAGTCTTTCAATTTTTCAAACTTGTTTTAAAAAAACCTTTATTTTGGAATCAGTAAATCGATGTTGACACTGATATCTGTTTCTGTCACAGTTCACTTGCATTTATGTTACTCATTTCTACAGACGCGTCTCCCAAAATAGCTGTGTGGGATAATGTGATTGGTGTAAGGACTTGTACTGAACTTTAATGTATGTGTGTTGCATTTCACACACAATAGCACCCCACCCCTTTGCTGCTCACTATTTAAAAGAGAAGTGTGGGAATCCTAAAAGCACAAACATTCCTAGATGGCTGCAGCATTGATCTGATTCTGCAGCTGTCCCTCTCCGCTGGCTCTACATCGAGAACTGAGTTATTTATAGACTGCTGATCACTCAGTTCCTGGTCTTCAGTGAGCAGAGAGTCTGGGACGGTCAGTCATAGGCTTTTGTTCTGCTCTTCCAATGCTCACTGGAGCACTGGGCTGTGGAGGGGGCTGGAGCAGCTGTCTCAGGCACTCAGCTGTGCATCTGGGTGGATCCTGACATTGTCGAGATCCCCACAGAGCTTGGACTGGGTGTGAGGTCAACAGAGAGCAGACTTTAGACCGCTGTTGGCTGATACTGGGTCACAGGAGTGCAGTATTAGGTGCATTCTGTGACCCCCAGAATGTAGGGAAAGTGGGGACGAAAGAGTCCCTTGGGTCACAATTTCATCCATTGACATCAATGATGGGGCACCTATCCATCCACTGACATCAATGATGGGAGTACAATTCCGTCCACTGACCTCAATGATGGGGCACTGTTCCTCCAACTGATGGAATCGGTCACTACAGTATTCCTTTCATTAAAAGCGTGATGGGGCATTTTTTACTTCCATTGATTCCAGAGCATTTTCTACATAGAAAAGTGACGGCAGAAAAAGACAGAGTGGTCCATTTGAGTCTGCCCATTCTACTCCCACTGGCACATAGTCTGCCCCCCTGAGGGCTGGAGGACAGTAAACTGGCCCTTTTTATTTAGAAAGCTTGGAGACCCCTGATATAGAGGAATGTGCTTTGTCTTTACTTTGACGTGGTTGTAAACCTTTGACTTGAAATATGAACAAAGAATCATTTGTGATGAACAGTCAGTGTAGTAGAAAGTAATATAAACAGAAAAGTTTAAACCATTTCATACTCCAAAATATGTAGTTTAAGACCAATGGAAGAGCTTTTAAAACATGTCAAAATGTAAACTCGTATATTTTCCACATTGCACTTCAATTATTCCTAGCCTACTCCTATTAATCTGATTGGTCCTTAAGTTTGTAAACGTGCTTTGTGAAGTTTTCCACCTTTTTTTTTACCTATGGAATTCTGTGACGTGTTCACTATGCCCTTGTGGGTAGGCATTGCTGTGTCACACATTTCAGAGCCTGCCTTCTGAACTACAGAGGTGCTGCGGAGGATGTGCTTCAGAAATGAAATTAATACAGGAATCCGTGCTTACAAGCAGCAAGGTACCATGGAATATGTAGTCCTTAGAAATTGAAAATAAACAGATGAGATGCTGCAAAGCATGCAGGGGACCAGGACGTTGTGAAAAAGATGACCAACAGACTGGCAGAACTCGCAACATGAAAGGCGATTTTTGTAGTAATCCTTTGCTGGATCCTCAAATATTGTTTGTATTGCTATTGGGCTCCATGCACACTAGCTTCTTTTTAAGCTCCTAGCAGCTAGTTATGAGCGTGTGGGTTTTTTTTCTCCCCCTAAAAGCAAATGGTATTATCCTATGTGTTCATGCACACTATTGTAGGCTAAGTGTTTTTCAAGCTTCAGCTTTTTAGGAGCAGAAAAAATGCTTTTTTTTTTTTTCCTAGCGTTTTTTTTTTTTTTTTTTTTTCCCTACATGTACTGTTAAAAATGCTAATAAAACGCTAACACTTCTAAATGCTACTAAAAACCGCTATTACTTACTGGCATTTTTTATCCAGCGGTTTTTGAGCTTAAAAAAATGCTAGTGTACATGGAGCCTTACAATGATTTTATAAAATGAAAGCGTATGCTGTCACCATAGAACTCCTTTATTCACAGTGAGCACATTGCTAGTTGTGTTACCCTGTGAATTAGTTATTGTAGAAGAGGTCTTAAGCTTTATCAGATAAAGTCATGTACTGCTTGTTTATCTCTAGATGACACCATGCAGCCTTGTCATGTGCACCAACCGCTCCCTAACCCCTTGACCATCATGTCCTACAACTAAGCAGTCTCAGGAAGGGTATAGCAGTGTCTTATTGTGCAGAAGAGCAGTCTGTCTACATTAATGTATTTTAAAACTTTTTTTTTTTTTAACATGCTGGGCAAAGAGTAGCCCCCCCCCCCCCTGCAGTCACCTCCATTTAGCTGCTGGGACTGCCGAAAATATATTATATTTTGATCTAAAAAGTGTGCCTCTTTCCTTGAGACAGCACTGGGCCAATCAGTGGTCACAACAGTGTGACATCGAAGGTTCATAGTCCTGTGTAAGCTACAGCCCGAATAGTATTTCTCTACACAAGGGGGGTTTCCTGTTTAGCAGCTGTCAAGAACTGCGAGATAGCAGAAAAGTGGAATATGTTCTACTGTGGGAGAGTATATTCATTTGGCTTTGGTTCTTTGCCTGCATGGGCAAAGCATGAGTTCATTCCTAGATTGTAAGCTCCAAGGAGCAGGGCCCTCAAACCCCTCGTGTATCGCATTGTATTGTTGTACTGTCTCATGTATTGTCTCCCATTGTAATGTACAGCGCTGAGCGAACTGTTGGCGCTTTATAAATACCGTATAATAATATTTGAATTAGTTTATCAAGGCATCCTACAGCTCCCATTTAAACAAACGGCAGAAGACTTTTGTTGCTATCAGTTGCCCGTAACAGGTACATTCCTGGAAGGATATTTTTCCATAGCTTAGAAAAATGTAAAAGGATAGTTTTGCAGCCCTGGCTAGGTTCAAGTCCACGGATTGTAGACCAAGAGTGGTCTTTTTATTATATATAAATGTATTTGATTAATGCTTCTCTAGTAGTGGGGTTTTATTCTTTGTTTAGTAATATACGTAATGCACAGAAAATTGAAATGACTTGCTGGATTTTTGGCATGGCTCCCATCTTTTGCTTTCGCTGTCTGTAGCAGTTTTTTTTGTGTTCTCATGCCTTCTTAACTTGCATGAACAGTGCTTTCTAATTCTCAATAAGAACAAATATATTGAATCAAGGCCAATATTTCTGATGACAAGGAGTGTAAAATTTTGGTTGTATCAAATACACAAATATTGTTTACAGGTGAACTGTTTGTTTTTTGGTGTGTATGTGTTAGAACATCCAACGTACTTAAGAATGGAAGCAGCGTGACGTTGCGCTGGTACTGGAAACTGCTGGGCAGCCATCTTGTTGCTCACTGCATACTGCCACCTACAGCGCGGACCTGTCAGAGATCCCACATCACTGCATGGCCAGTTAAACCCTTCCATTTGCTATCCAAAACTTAAAAAAAAAAAAAAGTTACACTTAAAAAAATGTGCATATTCCAACTTGCATACAAATTCAACTTAAAGTAGGAGTAAAGAAACTTTATTATAAGCTTACCTGTAGGTAACATATCTTCTAAATGTGTGCACCATTTAGGAGAAATTCGGGGGGGGGGGGGGGGTTTGGTTTGGTTTATTAAATTTTTTTGTTTTTTAAGCTGGTGCATGTGCTCTGAAGGATCAGAATGCCCGTGTTGTTCCTTCAAAGCACTGTACCTTGGCCCGTGATTCCTGCGTGCTTGTGCGGGAGTGACATCGCGGCTCAGCCAGCCAGATGGCTGGACCTCACGAACCTGGAAGGAAGACC